ATTACACGCTTTTTTAGCTACAATTATCGAATAACGATAAAATGCCTAACTTCAATACAAATACAGTATTTTGCCACGTAATCATCCGCACGTACCGTAAATCATTATTTAAACATACGATAATAGCAAGCTTAAACTTAAAATTGTATCCAGTTTAAATTGATATGAAATTTTATAGCTGTCCGGTATTATGCCATCGACTGTTTTAAGAATCCAATCCTCTATCCAATCCAATGGCATATTGTTGCAATCGGATCAGCATCAATTTCAACAAGTGTTAGAGAGACGATTTCCAAGAGATTTTCTGCTCAGTAGATTCAGAAACCGAACTTGTTTCCTTTTAGATTTTTCTTATCGACTTCCGATAGACTTCGTGTATGGTCCTATTTGCCCTCTCCTAACATGTCGATATCTTATAATCCCGTAGCAATATTATCAACAGCTGCATTAAAGCTTACTTAAATTAATCTCCGTGTTTAGGAGTTATAGGAACAACGCTTAAATCTATATTATTTACGTTTTTTAAACGTACGAAACGAAGCTTAATTAAACGAGTGTAATTTACTAATATCTTCTCGTGTAATATGTGACAAGATTTATAGATTTATAAATATAATATATTACTCAAACGTTATTAGAAGATATGAGGACTGTGATGCTGTTTTGGGATAAAGAAAATATAAGTGTCATAAATCTCGATTTCAGTAAAGTGATATAACGCTTCTGACCTTTGTACCGTCATTTTTCAATGATCGGTCGAGAAAAGACAGTTCAAAATTCATCCTTTGAATAAATAAATATTTTGCTTTACGTTTCTATAATTTTTACTCATATTAGCGTCAATTAAAAATTAAAAATATGATTTCAAACATGATTAATTTTACATGTGGAGCGGAATAATATGGCGTTTAAAACACTTAGACGATTGCAAATGCATAGGTTTAATAATTAGGATTTATTTATAATAAGAATTTTAAAGGAAAAGTACGTAGCTCCATCTCGTGCACACTTTCAAAAGTATTTATAATGTTATACATATTTATACAGGAATTGGAAATTCGCTATAAAACGTGTAAACACGATATATTATATTTAAACTGCGCATAAAAATTAATTTCAAGTTTTATAAATATGTTCTTTAGGCCGAAAAAACGTTTGCTTAATTAATCACAAATATTTGACAAAATGCGAGTCAACATCTTAATAAAAGAATACAACGAAATTACAACTGTTTTCCTTAATTCCTATCATTTTACTTATATAAAATTTACTTATAACTTATTCATTTTTCTGCCGAGTTGTACATTAATGTCAACTTATTACGTGCAAAATAAGATTTCGATTTCAAACAACGAATAATTACACATTAGATAAAACCCGAAAAACCATAAAGTGAAGTTTTGTTTCAACGCTTGTTCTTCGACTTTTCTGTTCTACATCTACGTGTACAAAATAGGATTAAAGTTACATATGTTGTGCGCTGCTGAAGGTGAAAGCTAAAGACAAAATATTGATTTCTTTGCTGATATTCACCTTTGCAGTTTCTCTTTCTCTACTTAATAAAATTAATTACGTTCTATTAGTCAAAGCTGCGAAATAAATTGAAATGAAAATCTTCAATGTTAAATCTATATTTTCTCGTGCGTTTTTGTTTGAAAATGACAGTGAAAGCACTAAAAGTAAAATTTGCAAAATGTATTTTTTTAATATATTTTTTCATTTCTGTTATTATATAAAGTAGAATTACGAACGTTAATTATTGAAAAATTAAGTTTAGATTATATCGATTATAATCAAGTCAACTCTTCCTGAATAAACTAATTATATATATTTATTATAATGTGTATGTACGAGTGTCAAAATTTGGATAAGATCATTTAAAAATAGGTTGAGATATCGCTTTGTAATATGTAAATAACAATTTCTTTGTTTTGTATGCATTATTAAGAAATTTGCTTGTAAAAGTTGAGTTTAATTATGTAAAAGTATTATATATCGATTAAAAATATTCAACTTATCTTGAATGGCTCTATATACGTTTATCGGTGAATTAATTACTTGTTAATGATAACATATAAATAACTGTAAAAAATAAATATTTAAGCCATATTGAACCAAATTCAGCCTAACAGATACTTTCTAATAAGACTCTCGTTACGTTATTTGTTGCCTCTTTCGTAACTCACTGTTAGTAACTGACCTATTTCCCAGCGGTTTGCTTAGATGAATTTTATTGCTGTTTATGTTTCGTTTCAATCGACTTTCCAACTTTATTTTTATTGAACTAAAAACGAACCTGAAAAACCACTCTCCATTTTACTATTAGATGAAGACAAACTATCCCAATAATATTGTGAATTGTTCATGCGTCTAATTGACAGTTTAGACACGAAGCTAACAATAACACTTTTAAATACTTAAATATATTATATTTAATATAGTATATACATCGTAAAAATTTGTTTAATTTGTACGTTCTTTATTAATTTTAATAAATATTAAACGAAATTACAACTAGAACTTTCATTAAATTTAAATACTAGTCAATATTTAACACTGGAATAATGTCAATTTAAAGGTCTGATAATTGAAGATATTGAAAAGACTCATTTAAAGCAATCCGAATACGTCTTAAATTTATAATAAAGATGCATTTGTTCTTTTGTTGCATTTTCAATTAATTCTTCTAAAAATAAGGTCGTCCCGTAAATTTTCTCTGTTTATTTCCTTGTAAAAAAAAAATAGAATTAAGTTACTTCATTTTATGTATATTTTTTATTTCCTGAAAAAGTATCAATATCATTCATTTGCCAATATAATTGCAAAGGTGTTTCCTTGTAAAAAAAAAATGACGTAAGACAGGACACCAATTCATTAACAGTTAAAAAACAAAGAACTCTCAAGGTGAAACAGGTGTGATAGAAATTGAGGACACACCTATAAAATATACAAACCTTCAAACAGTTATTTTTTTCTTAAAATTAAAATCTTATCAAATTTAATGCAGCTGTTTATTATGATGATTTTATTAAAGATTATAATAAAAATTAAGATATCTATATACCATATGACATTATAGCAGTTAATTTTCATTACATACACAAAATATCCAGTTTTTTTCAAAAGTAATTAACATATTTTGAGGTTGTCTAGAATTGTAATGCCGATTACTGTTAGTCCTACTTTCAAATGCTAATTTTGAAATGTTTGTAGATCTGGCATTTAGCCATTTCCATCTTTTATGAAATGTTTTAAGACTTTAATGATCAAGAATTTATTATATACCCAACATATGATCTTAATATAATTTATGGGGAAGATATACTATTTTACATCTCTTTGACTATAAACTTAAAATAGAATTCAAACAAGTTGACTAGTGAATAAATTTGGACTTTTAATCAGAAGTTGCTTTATAACTTTGTGGGATGTGACAAAATTTTTCTAAATTTTGAAATAGTTTAACTAATTATCAAGTTCAGATACAGACCTTAATATATTTTTAAAATACTTCAGAACTATAGTGTATCGTAATGAAAGTAACTTTTTAGAATTTTTGAACAGAGATTTTCCATTGTAGAATCTTGTTACAAAAAAAATCTTANATTTTTTATTTCCTGAAAAAGTATCAATATCATTCATTTGCCAATATAATTGCAAAGGTGTTTCCTTGTAAAAAAAAAATGACGTAAGACAGGACACCAATTCATTAACAGTTAAAAAACAAAGAACTCTCAAGGTGAAACAGGTGTGATAGAAATTGAGGACACACCTATAAAATATACAAACCTTCAAACAGTTATTTTTTTCTTAAAATTAAAATCTTATCAAATTTAATGCAGCTGTTTATTATGATGATTTTATTAAAGATTATAATAAAAATTAAGATATCTATATACCATATGACATTATAGCAGTTAATTTTCATTACATACACAAAATATCCAGTTTTTTTCAAAAGTAATTAACATATTTTGAGGTTGTCTAGAATTGTAATGCCGATTACTGTTAGTCCTACTTTCAAATGCTAATTTTGAAATGTTTGTAGATCTGGCATTTAGCCATTTCCATCTTTTATGAAATGTTTTAAGACTTTAATGATCAAGAATTTATTATATACCCAACATATGATCTTAATATAATTTATGGGGAAGATATACTATTTTACATCTCTTTGACTATAAACTTAAAATAGAATTCAAACAAGTTGACTAGTGAATAAATTTGGACTTTTAATCAGAAGTTGCTTTATAACTTTGTGGGATGTGACAAAATTTTTCTAAATTTTGAAATAGTTTAACTAATTATCAAGTTCAGATACAGACCTTAATATATTTTTAAAATACTTCAGAACTATAGTGTATCGTAATGAAAGTAACTTTTTAGAATTTTTGAACAGAGATTTTCCATTGTAGAATCTTGTTACAAAAAAAATCTTAATCTTATATTATATATTTTTAGCATAATTGTCCTACAGTAGGAAATGCAAATATTTTATGCAATAAGTTCTCAGGTTAAATAACTTGCTTGAGTAAACATTTAAATAAATTTTAAAACTATTTAAATTGTCATAATTCTTAACTAGAAGTGATTCAATATATATAGTATATTTAATAGCAAATAAATAAAATGAAGATAAAACTTTAAATAAAAGTTGTTGCTGAAAATAAAATGTTTCAAATTTTTACAGCCACAACTAATCTTAGTCACTTAAATTTTTCATTAAAATTTTAAAAAAATCTGTTTATATAATACAATTTAATTATTCATATATAAAAATTACACTATTAAATTTTCAAAATAAACAAATTGCAAGTATTTATTTTTATCATTTTAGCAATACATATGAAGACAGTACAGCATATCATGCAGTTTCTTCCAACTTTTTGATACAACAAATAATACACTAAGCACAAAGAATAAATAGACAAAGTTATAAACAAGTAATGACATGCTGACTAACAATTGTATTATTTTGTATGTTTACATGTATATATTATGTCTATTAAAGTATGCAAATCTGCACATAGACACATGTAACTTTTCAAAATTAATATATGTAACTATAGTCAATACTTGTACATATCTAAAAATTTCCAACTGCAGACCATTTCAACATTTCTGAATTCACACACCTTCAAAAACCCAACTTGTAAACTATGGTGCTTGCTATGGTTAATTAAAAATATTTAAATGACGGAGTAATAAGAAAGCACTGACTACAAGGAAGACAAATGTATCACATTGTTAAAAGTTCGTAAAAAAGCAACTAGAAAAGCTGCTCCGAACATCATCTTTCTTTTTGACAAATATTTATAGTAATAGATAAGGAAGGATACTTTGAGTATTAAATTAAGTGAAAAAGTGAGCTTTTAATTTTTATCCCTAAGAAAATTCAGCTTTTTTTTTTATTTCTAAAATATTTTTCGAGAGGATTATTATACATATGAAATATCTATAACAATTTCCATCTCTAAACAGTTAATTCTATAAAACTGCATCTTACATACAATATTTACAAATAGTTGGCTTTGTTTTAAACTTCATTTATGAACAGAGGATATTATAAAATATTAATATCAGAATGTAATACATTAAATAAACTAAAAAATTTAAATATAAGCAATATATTTGTTTAAAATCTAGAAATTTACTACAGAGTATTATTTAAATAAGTCTAAATTTATAGCTATTTTTCCAATTATGGTGGTTATGCCTTCTCGTAATGATTGTCAATAAATATATCTTGGTCTTACTAAAGTTTGTTTTTATAATAAAATAATTTCTTAAATATTAAGAATCAACTTCGGATGTTTAATTCAAAGTACAACAGCTTCCTTCAAATAATTTTCAGAAAACAATAATTTATGGTGCCAAGACAATATATTTACTTTTTTGTGCAAGTATCGAGTTATATCTACAATGTCAAAAACTGTGTATATTGCTATATAACTGGTTAAACTTTTTTCGCTATTCTATCTCATACTGGCACCAGTCCCTTTGTATCTTTATCAATACCTCAATTCTGTGTTTCAGAAATTCGACAAATCCCAATTCTTCGGTAACAGGTACAGTAATAAGTTCATTTGAAAAAAAAACTTGAGATCTTTTGGCATAGCCATTCATAATTAGAAATAAAATAATAATAATAATAATTTATATTATATTAGGTTGTTAAATTTTCATAAATTGGGTATGAAAATATTACTACCAAAACATGTTTTAGGATTAAAAAAAATCAGAAATGCATTTTGCTATCAAGTAGACCTGCTACTCTTGCATTTCTACATGTATGTTTTAATACACATTAAATTATACAAGTTTTTAAAATCAAATTAAGTAAATGCATTGTACTAGTAAGTGAACAATTGGGATATACATTTAATATCTAAATTTATATCCTTCCTTAAATAATGAGAATTGATAATTGATGTTTAATAGTATAGTAAATAAAACATTAAGTGCTATAAGAAATCTATAACAGTTATAATATTGAAATTTTAAAATCCTCATTGTTTCATAATTACTAGATATGTCTGAATGGACAATGTATCCTTTCTGAGACATGGATTATTTTAATAAATTTCTAAAATGAGCGCGTTTGATAAGCAATAGGATCACTTTGCCTCAGAAATTATTGATAAAAAATTTTCCGATGAATGTATTTTAATTTGTAATAGTTACAGTCATTCATGGAGTTATATCTGCTCCATTTTGTTTAAATATTGGTATTGGATTATGGCATTTAGTTAAGATATTCCATCACAGTCAAAAATATTTATGATGAATTGAGGCTACTGCAAGATCTGCAAAAACATTCCAACAAAATTATCAAAGGTACATCTTAAGGAGATGGAAGAGAACATTGTTCCGATGTTTCTGATGGGCTAGCACTACCAGTCACAGAATTTGGTTTGCAGGATCTTCTTCGCAACATTCCAGGATGAAACTCTGGGTGTCTCCGAGCATGTTTTGTGAGATGATCACTTCGCATAAAGCGCTTATCACAAAGCGGGCAAGGAAATTTCTTTTCTCCAGTGTGTGTTCTATAATGGCGGGCCAATTCATCAGAGCGGGCAAATCTTTTACCACATCCAGCCCAATTGCACGGGAATGGTCTCTCACCTAAAAAGATTATATAATATTTTTATTTTTCAACAAAAACCTTTCATTAACAACATCATGGCATTTAAAATCTTTAAGTCTCAAAATAATAATCAGTCTATATATTGATAATATAATTTCTGTGATTATGACAGCAATAAAGCTTAAAATGATGTAATAAATTATTTTATTACTATAAATATATCATTAGTGAACAGTCAATAAATCAAAAATCTTAAATATGCTAATAATAATTAAATTATGAAAAATTTTTTCAAGATTATGACTTATCAAAAACTGTTACTAAAATAGTTTATATAATCACACACACACATCATATATATAGATATAAATACTGTGTTAAGAGTAGTTTAAATTTAGTTCTACATTAAATAAATTTTAAGACTATCAATAAAATATCAATTAAAAATAAAGAACTAATTTATTTGATTGACAGGAAATGTGAAGTATAAAATGAAAAGAACATTTTTCCTGTTGACCGCAGCTCACACCCACGGACAAAAACTCTTCTTCCTAGCAGACTGACTATTTTTAGACCCGAGTTTTGCTTTCTTTCAGTGAATAGCATGTTTGTTTCTAATTCATTTCCTGTAGATATAAGATTAAATAAAAATTAAAACGCATTTAGCTAACAAATATTGGTTATCCGAACGATAGTCTCGCTTGTTTCCGATCACACTGCGTGCGAATTCTATTAATTTCGATCAATTAAAGCTGATGTCTTCATAGCAGCCTATCAAACAGGATACATGGGGATGTTACCGGATACGTTCTCCTGGTACGGGGCACAAAGCTTTACAGGAAGTACAACAACATCTGCTATCCATTGTGCAGCTAGATTTCCATACAGGTGGCAAGGCGACAACCATCTGCTGCTTCGCTCGTGTCCCACTTCTTTCTTATCGCTCGTTTCCTTTCCTCATAAGTCTTGACGGCCAATAACCTTTTATATTCGATAATAATAATTTCTAAACTCGTTCGAGAGTGAATCTTGTTAAGATATTTTCGAAATGATTCGCATATAACGCGAAACTGATAAAATGTGCCTACGCATATTGGCGTAACTGCCGCCAGTTTACAAATAACTTTTAACAAGCTAAACACGATGATTAAATGAATAAGTCTATGCTTTAAAAATGGATATTTAAATGGCAGATTTATATCTTCCGAGGGGAACTGTAAAATATGGTCGAAATGAATAAACAAAAGCGGAAGTGACCGAAGAAGGATACGCCTCAACTCGGGAGGCCGAAAGAGTAACGGGGCCTCAGCAAAGGAGTCTCCACCCATCAGTAATTCGTACTTTTTCCTGTAACCCATGCACTGTAAAACAGCGGTACAACAATAAATTAAACGCTTAAACAATCGCTATTGGTTTCGCTATAAAACTTCCCATTTCTCAGTTGGAAAATTTGCTTCTGTTCCGAGATTTACGCAGAAAATCACTCACTGTACTATGTTACGTTTTAAATACTTCCGCGTTATGGGTGTTACTCGACCGTACTTTTTATATCGATCATCATCCACGTTTTGCAGTTTTTTATAAAAATATTTTAAAAATAGAAAGTGCGAATTTATAACAGCAACGACAAATGCGTGTAAATCAGGACAAAAGCGAGATAAACATCGGCGTCACTTTTCTGGGTGTCATCCCTTTTACCTCTTTCACTCACGGTCACAAAAGGGCTCTTGGATACAGCATAAACCGCGCCAAGCTAAGGCCAGCGACCTTATTAGTTTGATAAGGAAGCAGATTGGTTTGCCTGCAGCATTGACCTAATACGTATACCTGCATAGCTTCCTGATAACGCTACCTTGTTCCAGTTTGAAATGGAGAAATACGAATAGAAAAAAAATGCATGTACTGTGTATATAAACTCTTACCCAACATGGATTAAATTTCAGTCTCTACTATAACAAGAAAACGTACTCTTAAAGGGGGTCAGTGCTTCGTGTAAAACGGGTTCACAACCTTGGCCCAAACTTGTAACACCACTCATTCTAATAATAATAAATACTATAGAATATTATTCAGATTCTTAAATAAATTATAACTTGTCAATTTTTCGATTTATAAGATACAAATTACAAAGTTTAGAGGAACGTAGCCGAGTTCATTGGGGCAAAAATCTCATTCGAAAGCGACGTCAAAGATTAATGTTATTTTTATTAAACTATTATCATCTAAATAAGATATCACAATCCGTCCAAGTGCCTATAATATATACAAAAACACTTTTATTTCGAATACGTAAATATTAAAAGTAATAATACCAAAATGTCCCTAAACGAGGAACTCCTACTAGTGAAAACTGCCTCCTGCACTGCATGCAGGGAGTTCAGATCCGAGCTTATTTTGAACAATGCTTTAAAAAAAAAAGAAAGACATTTACTCAAATAAACGTATCTTATCGGTTCTTAAACCCTACAAAATAGTGACCCCGCTATCGATCTTTCGCATTAGGTGACAAACACCTTAGATAAAAAAAAATGGGCGCAATTTCGAGTACCTTAAATTAGTGCTAAAATCGCGAGGTAAAAAAAGCAGAACAAAGAACGACGTAGTTACATAAGACGTCACGAGTGGCAAAGGTGCAAATAGTAAAAATTAAACATCGAAATTGGCTAGACGATCTTTGTTCTAAGCATCTCTGCAGGGGAGACTCGTTACATAAACTCTACTTAATAGAAAATTTTTAAAAAAACGATAAATTGATAATAATAAACGAATTCTTACCCGTGTGAGTTCTCAAATGGGCCTTCAAATGTGAACTCTTGCCGTAGACCTTATTACAGTTGATAAAATGACATTTATGAAGTTTCTTCGCTGCGTTTCCACCACGTTTGGGTTGGACCTCCTTTGTTTCCACTGCATGGCGTACAGTAGGTGGGGCTTCTTTGTTAACTGCAACTTTCGTATTGCGTGCAGCTTTAATAGGCGATGATATTTTAGGCATGGAAACAGAATCCTCTGGCAAGTAAATATGAGGCACTGGATCTTGCTTGATACTTGTTAAATCTGTTAAGATGCGTGCGATCATGAACAAAGAGCTATTAGCTTGGCATTCTGGTACGTACATCTCACTCGCAGAACTGCCATCTGTTAATGTGACGGAGCTGGTAGAGACGGGCGTCTGACGATCCGATTCCACATGAACACTGTGTGGCCTAGCATTAGACATGGCTACGAGACCTTCGGCGGCTAAATTGATATCATTGTCATGATCCATTGTATCTTCTACTGCTATTACGCGTCGATCGATGATCCAACCACAAAAAAAAAATTAAAATAAAAAGTAAAAAAATATAAAATCGTACGACTCGACGACAACACTCGACGGACGATGTAGAGATTCGTCTAGTTGCAACGGGAACGTGTTAAAGAAAGCGCGGGATTTCGCCAGGAGAGAATCAACGCCATCAACCGCCTTCCTCACCGACACAAAACCAACTGTCTGCCTCGTGTTGTCGATGGGCGTGGAGTAGGCATAAGCGGATGTGACGTCACGCACACTGGCGCCTCATTGGTATATTTTTCATGCGGTCTGTTGCTAACTGATGCGAGCCATTGGTGAAAATCATCAAAAAATTGTTTCTTTTATCTCGATTTAAAAATTTCGTTTTAACTTTCTATATGCCTATTTTAAATTATAATTAATTTTAAATGAGTTTCGAATAATAAAAATATTAATTTACGTGTTAAAATAATTTATATTTAAAACAAATTTTGAATATTTTATTAAATAATAAAAATTCACTCAAGTCCTTTTTCTTGGCGCATTTAATTAGAATTTTAATTTAATTAATTAAATAAAAAGTTGTATATAGATGTAATTCATATTTTCTTATATATTGTAAGTATATAAATAAATATCTGAAATAATTAAAACTGCACCTGACGTTACATTGTTAAAGTTATAAAAAATGAAGTTCTATTATTGTTTATGGTTTTATTTATTTAATTTTAGTTTCTAAGTGCAATTTAACAGTTAGATATTTCATTTTAATTTTTATTTCAGAAACGAATGGCACAATATTTTTTTTTTTCAACTTTTTAAGAATAAAATAAGTAAACATTAGGCACATTCTGGTTTTTAAAATATTTTTATCGAGTTTATTTTTCATAAATTATTTAGAAAATTCTAATATATTCCAAATATCCATAATTAATAATTATGAATAAACTGAATTCTAAGTGTGGGTTAAAAATTAAGCTTAAGTATTATATAATATTAAGGTAAATATTCTGAAATACATTTTAATATTCGCCTTGATTCTATTTACTATACTAAAACTTTTGAAATCTCGAATATTAAAGAGTAATATAAAGATTATTAAAGCCATTTTTTCATTATCATAGATTTACAAATTTTTAAAAATAATCTCTACTAATTATAAACATAAATGATCATACAAGTATAAAATCAAAAAAGTAGATATTGCGTGATTAGAATACTTACATCTAATTCAGAAATGGTAAAGTACAATGTAGATATAAATAAATAAATAAAATAATACGTTTACCTGTATTATATAATGGAATTCACTTTCGTGTTAAGAATTTTTAAAAATACGAATTTTATTTTTATTATTACAATGATAAATTCTTCACGAAATTATTTTAAAAATTAAATTTATCGTATATTTATTGACTTTTAAAAAATTTATCTAATTAATAGTAAAATATATCATTTCGAAATAGTTTTTTTTTTTTTTTTAATGAAACCTTAAGTATGGATCCAATGCTCCTTTATCGCTTTATTTTCTATCAATATATACAGTTAACAATTGTTAAAATATGAATACAGTTAAGTTTAAAAAGTTAAAAAAGTTGTCAGATGAATAGAAAATAGACTTTTGTTAACCGAATTTTCGTAGGAATTCTTAATATTTTAAGGAAACAATTATCGTTATATTTAGAAATATCAACTCATTTAGTTCCAATAGGTCAAATGACGCATAAATAATTATCCCAGAAAATACTTAAAACTATTCATTCGTTATGATAGTCTTCTTAGACAAAAGACAATTGTTTACTTCGTGGCAAAGACGTAGCCTACTGAAAATCAAAATTTTCTTCATAGAAAATTAACAATTGAAACATGAATCTTCATTCTAAGATTTTCTTATAAACATTAAAGATATAGAAAATATTAGTAATTTCCAACATAGTTCATTTAATTCTATAAGTTAAGCAGATTTAGATGTTTAAAATTAATTATTTGCTTAACTAAAAAAGATTTCAAAGCTACATTACGGTATCACTATTAAAATATTTTCGATCTCATAAAATAATAAATTTTTTTAATATAATTTAAGACTTAATTATAGAAAACAAATTGAAATATATTACATAAATTAATTTCATTTTTTATATTATATTTCATTAATATTTTTTTTTGTTTATTTGTTTGACTTCACATTGTTAAATTAGAATGTTTTATTAAAAAATAACTAAAATATCATAAATAAAATAAGGTTTGTTTACTTTAAAAGTAAAAAAAAACGACTTTAATAATTGAAATATTTGTTTTATGTTATTTAAAATTTTATCTTTAATTTTGTTTTGTATGCCCTAAGGCAATGAAGGTTAAAACGTTATTTGTTCTGTTATAGTTAAAAATATCCAGAATTTTATGCATTCATTCTAATCAACAAAACAAAGATAGCCGATAAGAATTACTACTTAGAAACGTATTTTAATTGTTTTTAAGCTGACAGTTTAGGTCTACTTTTTGTTAATAGGATTATCTTAAGCCTTCTTAATATTCTAAATTTAAGTAAATAATTATTTTAATACTTCAAATTATTTAAACGTATTTCACTTTATTCTGATAAGTCAAATGACCCATAAATAATTATTTGAATTTTTAGAAAATACTTAAAAACTATATTTTTGAAACAATCAGAATGTTTGATTCTATAATTTGATGAAATAAGCCCATTACAATAAAATAGGTAGGCTAACTTAAGCAGTATTTTTCTATTTTTTTTTTTTTCCTTTTTTCCCTTTATTTATTTATTTATTTTATATAAAATGGATACTAAATATAGTTTATGTGATTTAATCTTAATAATTTATTATTTATTTTCTATTTTAAAATATATTTTATTGCGTTTTTTTGTATATTAAAATATTCTTGAATGAATTTAAAAATAATTTAATCAGAAGCATTAAAACAAATTAATTTTTTATAGTAAATTTTTAAATAATTACATAATTCGAATTTATAATTTATTTATCTAAATATAATTATAAATTACTTGTCAAAATAGAACGTTTAAGGTAGTAAATCATAAATCTCGTATAAAATTATTAAATATAATAATAATATTTTTCTTTAAATAAAGATTTACTAAATAATGCTGCTATGAAAGCTATAAAACTATAACTCTATGAAAGCAATAAAAAGCAATATTTACAAAAATTAGAGATTCACAAATCTTTATTTAACTTTATTCAAATTTTTATAAGATTAAATTTAATTTTAAAATAGTAAAAATTGGAAAATATATGCATTTATTGTTTACAATTTCTTCAGGTATAGATCATATATTCATTTTAATTTTAATTTTCTTTAGATGTTAAGTTACTTTATAGCATTATTAACATATTCATTAAGTGTCAATCATGATTAACAGAACTTATATTTCAACATAATATATATATTTTTTTAATCTATAACCTGTTTAAAGTTTTTTAAAATAAAAGTTGTGTTTATTTGAGAAAAAATTCTCTAAGCATATGTGGTTCAGGGACATTTTGAGAGGCGATAAAGAAAAAAATATTTTAAGAAAAATATCCTAAGGTCAACGAAATTCAGTTCATTCTCATTAATATTTTTCAAATAATTTCTAGTTTTTAATTGCAACGTAATTTTTTTAATAAAAGAGAAATCAATGTTTTTAGATGAGCAACCAATATTTGAGTCCTGTAATGCATAGTTGTAAACACAAAATGTTAGTCATTATATGTCCCGTCTAAGCATTTATTTCCCACGTTCTAACTAAATTGGGATATCTATACAAATATCTATTTTTCTCGTAAAACCGAACCATTAATATTTATAAATTTAAAATTGCAGTATATCATTTTCTATTACTATAAACAATTTGTAATAAAATATAATCTTTAGCTGTGTAAAAATTAATAAATTTACTAATAAATTTTATTATTTATAAATATACTTTTAAAAATACAGGCCCTGTATTTTTCTAATTTGTTAATATTCAAACTATATAATATCAGTTAGATTAAGTTAGTAAGCGATAAGTTTACATAACTGCTTATATCAATTAAAGGAATAATAAAAATAATTTTATTTTATCGTTTCATCCTACATCTCTCAATTTCACTTTTTAATGTTAATGTCTGAAATTGGAATAAAAAAATCTAACAATCGTGTTAATTAGCCTACTCCTTCTCTATAGAAAGAAAATAGCTAATATATTAGATATTTCGTGATATAAAATAAAGGTTTTAAGCATGAATATGTCTCTTTTAATTAGAAAAAGAGATATATTTGAAATATAGCTAAGAAAGTTATTAATATTATGTTTACAGTTGAACCTTCAATAACGATCTAACTAAATAACTAAAAGGCAGCCATTTTTCATGAACTTTTTTTTTTAACAAAAATGTACCCAACACAAAATAACCTCCGAAAAGCGGCCATTTTCCCTCATTAGTGGTCATTATTCAGAAATTTGACTGTATTAAAATAAATAAATAAATGAAAGAGCTGTTAAAACTGTGAATATTCCTAATTTTTAATTTTCCAACTTTCTGGACGCCTTGTATCAATCCTTTTCTCTAGTTACTTCCTTGTACTATAAATGTATTGCTAAGGAAACCCAGTAATAATATAAACAGCTTTTACAGTTTGACTCTTCCCATTATAGTTATATAAACTAGTTTAAATAGAAAGTTAATGTGAATAAACCTGCTGCAGTTTTGACTGTGTGCAATTAAAAGTAAAGTATCTTTTAAAGTAATAAAGCAAATTATATGAAATTGCTTTTATATGAATTAAATTAAACATTTAGCAAAATACTTTCTATAATTTCTTAGAGAATTTTTTATATAAAAAGATATTAAGTCAAATTATATATCAATGCAAATCTAACAAGAACCTGAACTATTTTTGCAAGTCATAAGAATATAAAGGAATAAAACAAACAACATATTTATTTCGACATTTATCAAAAGAAATTTTAATTCATATAATTAATTTTCCTATTTTTCCTTTAAGAGTAAATAAAGTTTAGGGGTCTTTTCTGTGTTCGGGGTCTGAGCCAAACAGTTGTCTTCTGAACCTTTTGATAATGATTTATTATCAATGGATACATCATGGAAACATAATTTATTTATGTTTTAAACTAAGATTGTCATTTAAGTTAATATATTAAAAATTAATTAGATTAATCTTCTTAACAAACTTCAGAACTTATTTAAATAATATCTATGAAAAGCCTTTTCAATGTTCGAGTTATTATTTAGCAATTTAAAAATAAAACATACTTCAATTAAACACTCAAGATTGAATAATTATTTAATTAATATTA